CTATCCGATTTCATTCCATATCTGAATTCGTGTAACTAACTGCAAATAAACACAATCAAATACAGGATAAACATCTCATTTTAAATATAAAAAATCTAAAATATCATTAGTATAAACATTAAATTCTAACAGAATACTTAATTATTATCTCTATAAAATTTATAATATTAAACCAAAAATAAATTATTTTATTATTGAACTTTTTTTTTGACCGGCAACAAAGACGAAATAGCATAGAAACTAGCAAGACGCTAGCAAAAAAGAGTACATGTTAAAAACAAGACATGAGAGAATTACACCACTCTATCCAACTATTCGCCATAACATCTTTCGGCACCCTGTTTTTAAACCAGAAAAAAGAATACGTCTGAAGCTGGCCTGCAAGAAAAGTAGCCATCATATGAGAAGGGATAGAGAAAGTTTTGCGGTTGCGCAAGCTCCAAATAATCCAGAAGAATCCATACACCACTCCAAAACTCAAGATTACAAGTAAATTGTGTGTAGGTACACTTATTAAGGGGATGTTTGGGATTGCTTATAAAAGTTGTTTTTTAACTTATTTCAGTCTGGCACCGGTGATAAGCTATTTTCTGGTGTTTGGATAAGAAAAAGAAAACTGCTTATACCGGTGCCAAACCGGTAATAAGCTGTTTTTGATAAGTTAATCTTTTCTGACTTATGAAAAACTGCTTATTAACAGTTTACAATTATAACCCTGTTTTATTTAACTCCGGTTTGATACCACATAAGTTAATAAGCACTTTTACAAAAAAAAACATAAGTTGTTTTAAATAAGCAATCCCAAACACCCCTTAAAGCTTCATATTTGAATTCGTGTAACTAACTGCAGATAAACACAATCAAATACAGGATAAACATCTCATTTTAAATATAAAAATCTAAAATATAATTAGGATAATCGTTGAGTTCTAACATAATACTTAATTATTATCTTTATAAAATATTATATTATTAAACCAAAAATATTTATTTCATTATTAAACTTAGACTAAATTATTAAAAAAAAAATCTATACTATATTATAAAGCATTTGACAAAAACTCTTAAAAACTATTTTTTATACGTAAAGTACTGTTTATTAATGCATTACTTAAAACTCAATATTACAAGTAGATTGTACGTAAGTACAACTTATTAAAGCTCCATATCTGAATTCGTGTAAATAATTGCAGATAAACATAATCAAATACAAGATAAACATTTTATTTTAAATCTAAAATATAATTAGGATAATCATTGAAATCTAACAGAATACTTAATTATTATCTTTATAAAATGTTATATTATTAAACTTAAATTAAATTATAATAAAAAATAAATTAAAGAAATTACATAAAAA